TGAGTGGTCAGGAGGAGGGCAGGACACCAAAGGACATAGGAGGTGATGGTGGGGGCTGTGGGTGCCACAGGGCAGAAGGAGGTGGTAAGAGGCTGACTTGGGCCCCACACAGGTGCCAGTTAAGAGGGTCCACAGGACTGCGGGTAGAGGGTTCTGGAGGGGCCGGGTCACTACCGGCCTCTGTGTTCAGTGGGGAGGCCACAAGTTCACTGTTACTTAGGACAATCCTGTAGGTCCTGTGAGTACTCAAGCAGTGGGAGGTGGACCCTTGGCTAGGGATGTAGACAGGCATAGGCAACAAAGAGGGTAGGTTAAGAGATGGGCTGGAGGGAGGCTGCCCATTGGGAAGACTGGCTTCTGGTTAGAGGGTTAATGTGAAGGCAGGGAGAGTGTCAACTGACCCTAAAAACATCCCGAACATCCAGACAAAACTGCCTGCTCCAGACAGGACCCCTGCCCCCGTCTACATCTGCTGAAAAGGCCTCAGTCATGAATCCATCCTCAGTCCCTCCCAGTTATCCCGGTCTTCTCCAGCCCAGCTTGGGTTCTACCACCATCTTATAGCCAGACCGTCCCTTGAGTATCTCCTAGGAGTGCTACTGGGCCTGCTGTGGAAAATGCTAGTGTCCAGTTCTTTATCACCTGACACATCAGGAGGACAAGGCCTCTGTTCTTCACACATGTGTCTCCTGCCTTCAGGGAGAACAGACTCCCAATGTCCAGATAAACTAGCCTAGATGTGGCTGGCCTTGTCTAGCCACTGAGCAGCCATGGGGATTGGTCACTGGCCCAACTATGTGAGTTCTGGCTCCCATCCCCCCCTCCCTGTTCACCTGTAAAAGGCTTCATCCCAACTCTAACCTTTTCCTCTCTCAAAAGCTATCTGCCCTTGCACTTGAGCATCTGTCCTCTCCCTGTAAATACCTCTCCACCCCCATGCCTGGCACCACACCCTGTGGGGGATGAATTGACACCACACAGGGGGCTGGCCCTTCCCTGATTCAGGTGACATTGAGGTGAAACTTGGAACTTGGAGTGGGGTGGATGAGTCTCCTGGGGTGTTGGGATGGTGGGTAAATTTTGCCCTCTGAGGTGGGCACTAGAAGATGAAGGTGCCCCCTACACATTTGTATGTGGAAGTTCTAGCCCCAGTCCTCAGGACATGTTACATTTGGAGACAAGGTCTTTAAGTGGGCAGGTAACAATGAGGTCACTAGGATGGACCTAATACTGTTTATGTCCTCATAACATAGGAGATTAAGATACAGAAAACAGAGGGACTAGAGTGTGTGCAAGTTGAGGAGAAGCCTCAGGATAAACCACCCTACCCACACCTTGATCCAGGACCTCCAGCTTCCAGTGCTGCAAAAGAAGAAATGTGTGTTGCTCAAGTAGCCACCTGTGTCCTGTATCACGGCAGCCTGAGCCCCTGAGAGACCAAACCCACACTTCCTGTCTGATGTGGTCAGTGTGGGAAGACCTTCCTTGCCAGCCTGAGATGGGCTTGCCCTCCATGTCCCCCAGAGTGACTGGGGCAGGTGTGGGCAGTGCCCAGCCAGAAGAAAGCCTCACGGAGGAAAGGCTGAGTGCCCAGGGTGAGTGGAGGGGAAGGCTAGAAGGATCCATGTGGCTGCCAGTGTTGTTCACTTGTGCCTGGGCTGGGAGTGTTTGTGACTCAGGAAGACCACAGAGAGCTACACAGTGTTTAAAGGATGTTTCATTGCCATTAAGAGAGAACTTACAGGGTATCATAGGCTCCAGAGTACTACAAGAAGAAAGCTACAAAGCTGAAATGACCCATTCTCTGGGCTTTTCCTGCAGCACAGGGTGCTATCTGCTTTCCGTTTCTGCTTGTGTCATTCTCGGCTTGGCATTTCCCCCACGTCAGACAGGACCATGGCACATGGATCCTGTGTCCAGTGCCAGCCCATCCCTGACTTCTAGGCCACTGGGCTCTCTCTGTGGCATCTTGTCCAGCTGGGGTCCCCGAGTGGACACTGACTCTGCAGGACAGACTTGACTGAGCCCTGGTGCTTTCAGCAGCCATCCAGCTGCCCCTTTGTTGGGACAGGTGCTCCTGGGCCTCCTCTGTCCCTGAGACCCAGAAGGCTGTGTCTGGCCTGCCTGGGACCAGCTCACTAGACCTCTCTTGGAGGCATGGATGGTGGCAATCATCCCTTTCTGCCCCTGCTTGTGTTCTACCACCATCGTATAGCCAGACCATCCCTCGAGTATCTCCTAGGAGTGCTACTGGGTCAGCTGTGGAAAATGCTAGTGTCCTGGGCCCAGCTCTTTATCACCAGCATAGAGAGGCCCAGGGTAGCCAGTCCCTGTAGGTCAGATCCAGCAGTGTGTATTGTGGACCATGAGGATGAGCAGTGCACAGGGTCCCTATCAGAGGACCCACGAGGGACATATGAGCCGTTGTTCAGGCCTGTGTTCATGGAGGTGCCCAGCAGAGGCCCACTAAGGCATGGGCTGGCAAAGTCCATTAGGTGACTGTCAGTAGCCCTTCCAAAGCCCCTGCTTGGGGATGATGCCCATGCCTGCTGGCCTGGGGTGCAGCAGTCTCTTTGGAGGGTCATAGCCTCACCTCTCTCAGAGATGCCCTGTGCTGGAGAGACTGGTGTGGATTGGGTTAGCTCCAAGGCTGGCCTCCATCCAGACAGACATGGGCAATGCTGGACACTGCCTCTTCCTGGGTGACCGCCTGCTCATGGAGGCAGAGATGTCCTGGGAGGGAAGCCGTATCCCTTGTTTGCCTCAATCAGGGTCATGGTGGCAATCGCAGGGGGTGGCGTGTGTCCAGGCTGCTGAGGCTGGGCGTACCTGCTATCCATGAGTCCTCTGGAGCAGGGAGGGTGGGAGCACAGGGTCACTGAACCACAAGGTCAGAAGGCAGCGAGGTCCGAGGAGGGTGACCTGGGGGTCAGGTTGCTGGAAGTGATGGATGGGATCCTCGAGGGGCCTGAGGAGCCTGGACGCCTTGAGGGGTCGGCCTTAAGCCCCCTGCCTGATCATGTTCCTGTAGTCGGGGGCGATGGTATGCTTCAGCTCCCACACCGAAGAGAAGATCCACTTCACCTGCAGGAACAGTGGGTGAGCAGTCACGGCACCATGGGATGCCACCACAGCCAGTGGGACCACGGGGACAGCAGGGGTCAGGGTGGGACAGGGTGAGAACAGTGGGGATAGGATGAGGATAGAGCAGACTAGGGTGGAGAAAAGGCAGTGATAGGTTTGAGGACAATTTTTGGATAGAGTCGGGGACAGTGCAGGTACAGCATGAGAGTAATGTGCTGACAACACGGGGAAAACAACATGGGGCTTCATAGGGATGCTGTGGGGACAGTATGCAAAAAACAACCTGGGTTATCATGAAGACAGCAGAAGACATAATGGAGACGGGAATGGGGAAGCAGCATGTAACATTGTGGGGACACCATGAAAAAGCAGTACGGGACATCATGAGGACAGTGTGGGGACAGCATAAGGAAAACTGTTTGGGACTCATGAAGATACCTTGGAGACAGCTTAGAGAAAACAGCTCGGGATATTGTGGGGCAAAGTGGGGACAGAGTGGGGAACATTGCATGGGAACATCATTGGGACAGCATGGGTCAGCATGGAACGTTGTGGGACAGTTGGGGACAGTGTGGGAACCACATGAGAACAGAGAGGGCCATCCTTGAGATTGATGAGCCAGTCTGGACTGTGTGGGGACAGCACGGGTCAGTGTGGGTCATCACAGAGACAGCATGGGCAGCACGAGTGTCGGGGGCAGCGTGCCAACCTTGAAGAGGGTGACCGTGGCGCTGTAGCACACGCTGAGCAGGAAGAGGGTGATGAAGATGGTGATGGTTGTCCACAGCCCATCCAGCTCTCCATCCTGGGCCTCAGCACAGCTCTCATCAAAGTCCAGCCCTAGACAGGAGGGAGTGGTCAGTGTATGTCACCCAGCTGGGCGCAGGCCCACTCCCTGTGCAGTGAGTGATGTGGTGTTGCTGGGAGGCCAGGGAGGAAGCGCCAGCCTTGCCTGCCCTGGCCAGGTCTCCTGCACTGTGTGGACCACTCTCTGTCTGCTCCAGCCTTCACCGTCAGAGTGGCTGGGCAGTGTCGGGTTCTCGCATGCCATAGTCTGTGGCTTTGCAGTCTGCCTAGTCCTCTGTCTGCTCTCTGGTGAACAGGACAAGTGTTGGAGAGATGGCAGGGTAGAGCTGGTGGTGACAAGTGTATTCTCATGTGGGTTGGAGGAGGCCTGAGTGCCAGGTGTGGGGGACTTTTGTATAGGGGAGGCTGCAAGAGGGCTGGTCAGTGTGTGCACAATTAGGTGTGAATGTGGGGTTGGGGTGGGCGCTGTGCAGGCTGCTCATAGGCCCAGGGTATTAGGCATGTACACGTGTGCACACATGTCCATGGGTATGTGTGGTCATTGTGGGCTGGTGCTGCTCAGCAGACTTGTTCTAATGGGTCTGGCTCATGCCCTCAAGGATGCCTGGACCATCTTCCCTTGGGGTAGCCAGGGTGGCATCTCAGCCATTTGGGAGCACAGTGTCTCCAAGGGTGTTTAGTGTCCCCATGAGTGAGTAGTGTCCCCAGGGGTGCCTAGCTTCCCCATGGCTGGGCAGCCTCCAGTGTCCCCAATGGTGGCCAGCTTTGTGCAGGTGAGGGGGTCATAGAGGTCCTATCCAACAGCCATAGCTTGAAGTCTCTGCGGTGGACAGAGACCCCAGGATGAGGATTTGGAGGGCAAGGACAGGCTGTTACAGAGGTGAGTATGAGTGTTCCTTCCCATGGGGGAAGCTGAAGAGGGGCCTGGGAGGACAGCTAGGTCGTGCCTGTCCCTGTGAGGGCAGACACTCACTTTGGTCCTCTCATGCAGACAGCTGTCTGTCCCTAATGACTACAGTGCAGGCTTGGCCCCTGCCTGACCCAGGAACCATGGCACAGGCCCATGGCACAGGCCTTCTGTCTCGGAAAGAACCAGGACAGTGTCGCAGGGTCCCAGGCAGTGCTGGGTGCTTTATTTACAAGGGTGTTGGGGGACAGGGTCCTTTAGGACTCAAGAGCCTGAAGGTTAGAGAGGGATGACCGCACAGCACTCATTTACCCGGAGACCGGGAGATGGCCTTCTGCGTGATGTGGTTGTGCAGGGCTTCATGTACCACAGAGCAAGTAAAGGATCTTCCCTGCTCCCATTCACTCTTGTTTGCAGTGAGCTTGCTGTAGAGGAAGTAGGTCCCATCAGTGTCCAACACAGGCGGGGTGACCTTGTAGTCTGAAGGTGTGTCGGTGTGCCACTCCACATCGATGTCAGTAGGGTAGAAGCCCTTGACCAGGCAGGTCAAACTGACTTTTTCTTTGGACAGCTCCTCTTGGGGTGGGGGCAAGACATACACCTGTGGCTCCTTGGGATTCCCTGTGGGGACAGAGGTCAACATGTGTTCAATGCTGAATGGAGGGCTGGCCAGAGAGAATCTTTCTGTTTGACCCCCACAGTGCTGCCCAACTGCCCACCTGTCTGCACCCCACTCCCACCTTTGACTTTGGAGATCGTCTTCTGGATAGGGGCTGGGAGGACTTTGCTGTTGACCTTGCATGTGAACTCTTTGCCATTCAGCCAGTCCTGATGCAGGATTGGGAGGACACTGACCATGCGAAATGTGCCATTGAACTGCTCTTCCCGGGACTGTGGCTCAGCTGTGTTCACCTGCGTGTCATCCACGTACCAGGTGAACTGAACCTCAGAATCTTCCTGGCTCACATCTACTACAACACACGTGATCTTGGGGGTCAGGGAGATCATGAGTGTGTCCTTGGGCTTTGGGGGAAAGATGAAGACAGATGGTCCTCCCAAGAGTTCAATAGCTGGTATGAGAGACAGAGGAGACAGGTTAGCATAGGGGGCCATCTCAAATGGCCTCCTCCAGATGTTTATCCGTCTCTTGGGCTAGAGTAGAAGGGCTGGTAACTTACTTGGGCACACGGGACAGGGGGTACAGTGGGAGTTGCTGGTATCCCCACCATCTGCAGAGAGAAGGATGGGGTTATTGGGGTTGTAGGAAAGTGCTGGGCCACGGAGGGGATTGTTGGGCCCTTGGCATGAGCTCAGTCAGGCCCAGACTACCCTGGGATATGGCTCTTGGCCTGATGCCAGTGGTCATCTGTCTATATCTCATAGACAAACCATCCAGCCTTCACCCACCCTGGGCCTAGTACAAAGCCCCAGAAGACATGAACGTTAATGTGGGCAGAGGCCTCCATACAGGAGACAGACAGGAGTTCCCTGGTGCCTGTGGCAGATATGCCCAGGAAGGCTGACCCCACACTTGTCTTCCAGGGGACCTGAATCTCCTTGGGAACTGTCCTCACCAACAATCTTGTCCACCTTGGTGCTGCTGGCCGGGTGGGCTACATTGCAGGTGGCCCTCTTCTGGCCGGAGGGCAGAGTTACCATGCTGGTGAGTGAGTATAGGTCCGACTGTAGACTGGCTGGGAAAGTGTGCACTCCGCTGGTCAGGGACCCTGAGTTCCATGTCACGGTCACAGGCTCGGGGAAGTAGCCCTTGACCAGGCAGCCCAGAGTCATCATGGAGCCAGTGTCCACACATCCGGAAGCCAGAGGGAAGACGGAAGGGGCCTTTGTGGTGGCTGCAAGGAAAATGGTACCAAGTGACATGGGGTCAAATGCAGCTGACCCTGGACCATGGAAGACTTTTTCTTTGGCTCTTTGGGGTCTGGGTGCTCTGCAAGATCCAGGCAGAGTTCTGTGTCTAGACTTTTGGCCACGCCTGCCCATGTGCTTGACCTCATGTGCCTGGCCCCACCTGCCTACCTTAGCCAACCCTCCCCATGAGCTTCAGGCAAGTCCAGGCCAGTGGTTTCTCAAGCCCAGCCTGTCTCCAGAGCGCTTCCAGAGTGCTGCAGGCCCAGCTCTCTAGCAGTGCTCTGTGCCTTTTTGCAACCTTAGTCCCTGCTCCTGTTCAGCTGTCTTCAGCCCAGTCAGTCCTCCATGACCCACTGAAGCTGGTGAATCCTTGGACCTACAGCCCCTTTTATGCCTCTGCTTGTCTGTTTCTCCTGGGCTCCTACAGAGACCCAAAAGTCCTTGTCCCAGTATGGCCTCCTGTGGGTGTCTGGCCTGACTTGTGTCCCCATTCTTGGGTCCTGTGATCTCTGTGATCTCTGCATAGCCACAACTTAGTCACTCAACTGGGCTCTAGTGAGAGCTGGTTCTTTAGCATGGGAACCTTGGTCACGCTCTATCTGATCTCTGCCCCCAGATCCTGCTCCCAGAGCCTTGCCCTTGCCTTTGTGTTACCGGGCTGTGTCCTCTAGGGTCCTCTCTGAGCCAAAATCCCCACACTCTGAAGGAAACCCCAGGAGGTCTCTCCTGAGGTCCTTACCCATTCCCCCAACCCTGATAGCCAGGCTCCTAAACCTGGGTTCTGGGAACAGCTACTCCTTGGCTCCCCCTTATGTGTTCCTGAGGTCTATTCAGGGCCATACACCCAGAGCTCTGTCTCCCACTTGCCCAGTTTCTGCCCAGCCCTCATCTGGCTGCTTCTCATCTCCTGTACTCCCCAGGGCTTCCTCCAGGATGGGCCCTGCTGAACTTGGCTCTGGTGCCCACTGCCTCCTCTTCCCCTGCACTCCTGGTCTTGCCTCATCCTCTGCATGCTCCCGGCACCCGGGACATCAGGAAAGGTCCTGTGCTTTCTGCTGCTGCCAGCAGCCCTGGGTCCTGGAGGTTGGAGCGCACCCTGACCCCTGAGGAAATTAAATCTCCCTGTCCTCCAGCCCAGGGTCCTGCCAGTCTCCCTTTCCCTCACCTGCACATCATTGTTCAGCAGACTCCGCTCTGGCTCTCGGTGGCCCCTCATTATCCCCTCTGTGGGACCGACTGTCCTGTTCCTCTGTGTGCTGCTTCAGCAGGGTTCCCTTGACCCCAGTCCCCACAAGCCCCCAGGAACAGAGCCAGACTGACCCCAGAACTATTGTCCATCAGGTGTGTTTGGGGGGCACCAGCCCCAGAGAATGTTCTTGCCCAAGGTCTCCTCTTTTCTGCCCAAACCCTCTTGGTGCCCAGCATAAGTGCTCTCTGCAGTAACCCCTGCCCCCTGGCAGTCCCTGTTTTCCCTCCCCGCCAGCATCCTATGTAAGCCCCAGGCCTCACTTTCCTGCACATAGAGGTAGACTGCAAGGTGGGAGGGGGGCAGAGCAGGTGCTCGGGGGGATAGGGCAGAGCAGTGAATAGTGAGATGGTTCTTTTGGGAGGAGAAAGAGCAGGTTCCCTGAGCCCCAGGGGCTGCTGGCCATGCTACTTGCTGACCTCAGCCTGAGGAGTCCTGACCCACCTTCTTTGCTCCCCTCCTGCCAGGGTCTGGACTCCTCCAGCTTTACCTCTGCACTGAGTCTCATGCTAAGCCTGCTAGCTCTGTTTTCCTATCAGCCTTCAATACCCTGACTCCTGGGGCTGTGCTGACCCCGCTCCACAGCTCACCTTCAGCTATTCTTCCCTGGTCCCCTCAGCTCCTGGGGTCTCCCCTGGCACCTCTTGCACCTACCTGCTCCTGAACATTGGCAGTTGCTCTGTCCTGGTCCCCTGAGTTCCTAGGGCTACCCTGGATTATCCACCACCGATGCGTTTGTGCTTACCTACAGCTGCTCTGCCCTGCTCCCTTGAGTTCCTGGGGGCTACCCTGTTCACAGGCATTTGCTCTGCTCTGCTCCCCTGGCTCCTGGGCTTCTCTAGCTCCTCTAGCACCATTGCGCACCTGCTCTCCTGAAGCTGTTCTTCTCGGGTCCCTGAGATCCTGGGGCTGCCCTGGCCCCTCCAACACCCACCTGATCCTGCAGCTGCTTGTCCCTGAGCTCCTGAGCTCCTGTGGCTACCCTGGTTCTTTTAGCACCCACCTGCTCAGCTACAGCTGCTCTGCTCTGGTCCCTGCTTTGCTGAGTTCCAGGGGCTATCCTTCTAGCACCTAGCTACCCCGATCACAGGCATTTGCTCTGCCTTGCTCCCCTGGGCTCCTGGGGTTGCCCTGTGTTCTCAGCACTGACCTGCCTCAATTCACCTTCAGCTTCTCTGACCTGGCCCTCTTAATTCCTGGGATCTCTGCTCACTCTTCTGGTACCCAATTGCCCCATGCGCAGTGGCGGCTACTCTGCTCTGGCCTTCTGACCTCCCGGCATGTCCAGCACTGATGTGTTCATGCTTGCAGATACTCTTGCCTATTCCCTTGCATTCCTGGGCCTATCCTATTTCCTCCAATATCCACCCGCATCTGCTCTCCTGCAGTTACTCTGCCCACGTCCCTGAGCTCCTAGGGCTACCCTGGCTCATCCAACATCCACCTGCCTCTGGTTACCTGCAGCTGCTCAGCTTGGGTCCCTGAGCTCCTGGGGCTGCCCTGACTTCAGCAGGACTGACCTGCTCCAGCTCACCCTCAGCTGCTCTTCCCTGGGCCCCTGATGTCCTGAACCTGCTTTGGTCCTTCCAGCACTCACTCAACCTTGCTTACCTGCAGCTGCTCTGCTCTGGCCACCTGAGCTCTTGTGGCTGCCCTGGCTCTTTTAGCACCCTGCTCACCTGTAGCTCTTCTGCCCTGGTCCCTAGTAGCCTTAGTTTCTGGGGGCTATCTTGTCCCCTCCAGCACCTAGCTACCCTGATCATAGGCATTTGCTCTGCCCTGCTCCCCTGGGCTCCTAGGGCAGCCCTGGCTCCTCTAGCACCAACTTGCCCCACCTAACCTTCAGCTGCTCTCCTGAGGTCCCTTAGCTCCTGGAGCTGTCCCGGCCCCTCTGGCACACACCTGCTCCTGCTTATCTGTAGCTGCTCTGCCTTAGTCTCTTGAGCTCCTGGGCCTCATCTGATTCCTCCAGCTCCCACCTGCCTCACGTCACCTATAGCTGTGCTTTCCCTGGTCCCTGAGCCCTTGAGCCCTGTCTCCTCCAGCACTGCAATGCCTCAACTCACCTTGAGCTCCTCTGCCCCGGTCCCTCCAGCATGCACCTGACTCTGCTTACCTGTAGCTACTGTGTCCTGGCCACCTGAGCTACTGAAGCTGTTCTGGCCCCTCCAGTAACCACCTGCCCTACTCACCTATAGCTATTCTGTGCTGGTCACCTGAGCTCCTGCTCACCTATATCTATTCTACTCTGGTCCCTGCTTCCCTGAGTTCCAGGGGCTATTCTCTCCCCTCCACCACCTAGCTACCCGTTCACCAGCATTTGCTCTGCCTTGTTCTCCTGGGTTCCTGGGGCTGCCCTGGTCCCTTCAGCAGCTGCTTCTGCTCTCCTGCAGTTGCTCTGTCCAGGTCCCTGAGCTCCAGGCACTGCTCTACCTCTTCCAGCCTCCTCCACCTGATCTGCTTATCCCTGGTCCCCTGAGATCCTGGCCTGCCGTAGACTCTTCAGCCTCCCAACTGCCTCAACTTGCTGCTCCTCTGTCCTGGTCTTCTGAGCTCCTGTGGTGTTTCAGGCTTCCTTCCTACTCTCAGCTTTGAATCATTCTTGGCCTCATCTGTCATTGCATGGGGCTTGCCCCTTAGTCCCTGGCACTTATCCCCTGCTCTTTGTGCCTTTATCCTGTCTGCCTCCCGAGATGAGCACCTGACCTATTCTGGAAGCTCCACTCCCTCCTCCTTTTATTTCTTCCACTCTCCTCAGTGGTCTGCCTGTGCTGCCTCTAGGGTAAGCCTTGTCTGTGCCTCTTGTGTCCTCCTGCTCCCTTGTCACATTTTCTAGAGGACTGCTGTCACTCCCTGGTGTGTCTCGCTCAGACAGCCTGGCCATACCTCTGCCTTTGGCCCTGGTCCCTCTCAGGTAGGCTCAGAGGCTGAAGGCAGCACCAGAGGCAGGGTCTGGCCCTTTTGTGGGGAGGTCTCTTAGCCTTCTTCTAGCCTTCGATGTATTGGCAGCTCAAGGTGAAGTGTTCCTCTTCTCCCTGCCTCTGTCCCCAGCCGGCTCACCGAGTTGCACCCATGGTGGCTCCTAGCCTTCTTGCTTCAGCCCTGTGCTGTCACAGCTCAGCTCTGTCTTGTCTTTCTAGGATTTGCAGCTCTTGTCTTCAGGGGTGTGGAAGCCCCCCCCCCAACCGTGGAGACTAAGAACAAGATTGAAAGTGGGTGGCAGGCTGCTTCCTGAAGTTCCCTTTTTACTGGGAGGTTCTGGGTCAGAAGATATGGCCACCTGGTGTAGGTGTGTGGGTGCATGGGCTGGGCAAGCCATGCCCTGGGGCCCAAGGAGAAAGTGGGAAGCCCCTGTCACTTGTTACTTTGTGTTCATGGTGTGCCAGGTCTCATAGTTGAATATTTTTTGATTGGGTATTTTATTTTGAGAAATCTGATTGTTTTGTATTCTTTATATACTTCAGACATCAGTTCCCTATGTGAGGAGTAGCTGGCACATTATTTTCTGTAGGTTGTCTCTTCACTTTGTGGCTTATTTCCATTGCTGTGCAGAAGCTCTTTAATTTGATATAACCCAATTTGTTGCTTCTTAATGTTATTTCTTGTGCAATTGGGGATCTATTCAGTAAGTTCTTACCTGTGTCTGTGTCTTCAAAGATTTTTACCCATTTCATCTTCTAGTAGATTGTTTTTGTCATAAAATCTAGCTTTGTGACCCATTTTGAATTTATGTTA